AAGGTTCGGTACACCAGCGGCAAATCTCCCTAATTAAATTAATTTGCATTTGTTCATGCTTCATAATAATGACATGTATTCATTTATTTTCCCCAATAAATGTTGCGAGATATTAGTATAAATAATAGATTTTATGGGTACCAGAAAAATCTTTGTTTATGATGCTCGCTATTGGCATAATTTCATAAACTTTCAAATATAGAAACAAACTTTACATGATAATCGACAAAAGAAAAGAAAATTATCTTAATTATCATTTTCTTCGCATGTATGACTTTAAAAAGCGATTGTTGTTGGCTTGTTTGTGAGAGATTTTTTGATAATTATTTTTAACCATGCATTTTATATATAGAACTATAGCTTTTTTCTATTATTATTATTATTATTATTATTATTTGGTTTGGTATTGTTGTTCTTGTAATTGAATCAACTTTTTATTTAGTGTAAAATAATTACCGTGGGAAGAATAATTAAGGGCTTAAAAAACTATTTTTGAATATTGATGTATTTTTCAATGTTAGCTTGTTATTGTTGGGTAAACCGATTTATTGTTGTGCATGTATAGTAGATAGTCAGAAAATGAATTTATTTAATTAATTAGGGTTGAATTGGTATTTTAATTATAGATAATTGGAGAAGTTAAAATCGAAATCTGAAAAGCTAAACTCTTTTTCTTTTCAAAATCTACCGTAAATGGTTTAGATTTTTCTATGATCAATTTATTAAAAATTTCAAATACCTAAAACAACTTTTGATTGTCTGAGAATAAAAAATTTAACTCAAAAATCAATCACTGATGGAGTGTTCAAAATTTGGAGGTTGCTACATGTATACAGTCGTGTACATAATGGACACCATTATGTACGCGGTTGTGTACAACAAGAATAATCTTCAAAATTTTAGATCAAGTTCTAGTTTAGATAAGGAAGAATGACCACCTTATCAATAATTGAAACTCAATCTAGAAATATTTAGATTCATACTCTTATTAATGCAATAATTCCCGTTATCGAGAACTAAAGGCCTTATTTCAATATCGACTAAAAAAAAAGTTGGTCTAATATGAATAAAAACAAGCTATAATACTCGATAGTATCTCTTTTCTCTAAATTAGGGTTTCCATTCCTACTATTGCAATGCTAAGTACAACACATAATCATGTCTAAAACGTGATAAGATAATAAATATTTAACTATTTTTTGTCCTTAGAGATTCATTCTTCAATTAATGTTTGAGTATCAAATTTCTTTCTTTAATAATTTTTATGTCAACGATAATTTCACTTTCATCCATCGATAAATTGGTCAAAATATTCAATAACTTCATATTCTAACCTTTCACAAGTGAAGATTATTCAAAATTTTTATAATAACACGAATCACTATGATTAATGTCACGACGAATTTGGATTGTAATGACTATTCCTACTACGCAATTCAACACTCACATGCCATAATGTTATTCTAATTTAAAACGTTTGTGATAAGATTGATCAATAATGGGAATTTCTATATGTGGACCACAATAAGTGGATCCCAATAGTTCATAGTTTTAGAGGCATATTCCAAATTATGCTTATTTCACCCTAGTGTGAATTTAATACGTGACACAGAAAATCGAGTAATCAAGTATCTATTCATTGAATTTTCACTTAAATGAGCAAGTAAATTTCAAAATGAGCGTTCTCAAATAAATCGCATTCTTATATAAACATGTTAAACGATAAATCGTACATTTTATCAACATTGGAAAAATAAACGTACATATTATACAGTATAATTAAATTCTATACGAACATCTCATCAACCCATCACCCTCCACTTCACAAACAAAACAAAAGTGGCGTAAAAACACATGGCTGATGACACGTGAATTGCGAGTCATAATAAAAGTCTTTATATGTGACCAATCTTTTTCAACAAAGCCCTACCTGCCGACTTTATATTTTTTTAATTAAAATCCATCTCCCCACTTCAAGAAAAAGGCAAAATAAATAATAAAATACATACTAATATTAGGCAAAAATAAATCAAAAATTTCCTGTCCACCCTATCTTTTTAGTTTTTCTTTTCCAATAAGAATCATTTATTGTCATTTTATTTGGTTTGCTTTACATTTATTAATTTACTTTTTAACGACTAATATTTCCGTAATTAGTTAATTTTTTGGTTTGTATAATTAATATATATGATTCTGTTATCACGCCACTTGCACATTACAAATACAAAATTGTAGCGTATCGAAAAGGTAAATTTGAGTATACATCACAAGATACGATGTGCAGTCGGGAAAACGAAGATAAATTATCGACAATTTCGTTAATAAGCTGATATTATTTGATGTCAACTAATTCCCAATCTTTTTAAAGATTCTTGTTTTTTTTAATCGTTCAAATTTTTTCTTTTAATTATTTAACCAAATATTAATTCAATTTTTTCCTTTTCAACTGAGTACATCGTACATTTCATAAGATATATTTCGGAAAAAGGCCTAAAGACAGGAGGGATTTTTGTGAAAGAGATGGATCTTCGTTCTGATCCCTTCCCGTGTTTTTCACGCTTTAATTTAACTCAAAAATAAGAAAAGTAATTGAAAATATAAGTTCCCAAAAAAATTAAGGAAAAATTGCAGCTGAGGTACCAAACCTTTTGTTTATTATTAGATTTTGCCCAAACCTTTAATTTGTACCATCCACAGTTCTAAACCTTTCAAAAACATGCACCGTGGGTTCAAATGGATGGAAACCGTCCGTTTAAGCGTTAGTTAACAAATAAAATTGAATTTTGATCAATTTTTGACCAACTGAAAAGGGCAAAAAAGTAAATTCGCTATTTAATTCTATAATAAAACAAATGAACTAATAAACTAAATAAAAATAAAAGAAACTACTATTCATCTTCTTCTTTCCTCATCCCCACCCCACCCTTGCAATTTTTCCAATAAAAAATGCTCGAAGAACTGGGTTTCTTGCTTCGAAAAACTGGAACTGGAATTTGGCAACAAACCCAAATGAAACTGCATTCACCGAGTTATCAAAATGGGACCTGTGGTCATCTTTCTATATATATGCAGGCGCACTACTCAGCGCCGGAGGCCAACCCCTAAAGCCCTCCTCTTCTACTCCCATTACTACTATTTTTCTTCAACTAAGCTTATCTTTTAGCAGTAATACAGCTTAAGATTATCAGAGAGAGAAGGCAAGAGGCACGAGGAGTCACTAGAGGCTGAAGAGGAGTGAGAGCAAGCTCTGGAACTCTGAAGATGTATGCTTTTCAACGCTTTTAAAGAAGAGTTGGAAACAGCACCCCACCCCACCCCACCCCACCCCAAGGATGAATTTGTGGGCAACTATCCAGCATTCATAAATTCGTTGGCAAATTCATCCTCAAGCTCTTGTTAACAAATTCTTCAACTGTCCAGCATTAACAAATTCATCCTCAAGCTCTTGTTAATGCTGGACAGCTGAATGTGAGCAGCAGTTCATCTAGTATTCCACTCAAGCTGATAAATAAGAGCTTGAGGAGCCATCTTTAATCTTGGAACTATGGCGGCATGAGGGGCCGTCTTTAATCTTTCTCACCTCGACTGCTGAAAGTTGATTTGGGAGTGATGGTCGGCACAATTGGAGTGGTGGATGGTGGTGGACGACGTGGTCGGCGTGATTGGAGTGGGTGGACATTGGTTTGACTTCGGTGGCGTGGGGTGGGGTGGGGAAGAAGAAGATGATTTTTTTAAATTTTTTTTCAAATTCTTTTCTTTTTATTTTATTTTTGGTTTTTTAAATTTAATTAATTTAATTATTTTTTATAGAAAATATAATATTACATTTTTACCTTTTAAAATGTAGTCAAAATGTTGACTTTAAGTCAACTGACGGATTTACTAACGGTTTCCATCCATTTGAACCCTCGATGCATATTTTTGAAAAGTTTGGGACTATATGTGACACAAACTAAAGGTTTAAGCAAAGTCTGATAATAAACGAAAGATTTGGTACATCGATTGCAATTTTCCCAAAAATTAAAGAATCGCCCTGTATCCAGAGCTAGAGAGAGAGAGAGAGGAGAGAGAATATCTCTCATTCTTTAAACATATATTGGTCTCTAAATTTCACTTATAATCAGGACAAAAGTTTTTCTGGATTTCTCCTTTGATTTTTTCCTGAAATATATCAGATTCCTTCATCATTTCACTTCTTGAAGAAAACCCTGTTTAGATTATTGATTTTATTTTTGGTATTTTTACTTTTTTTTTTTTTGCCATAATAGTCTACAGATATATTTAGAAAAATTTCTTGGATTTTTTTGGATTTTTCTCAACAAACTTAATCCCTTTCGAAAACTTGTATTCAATTCTGATCTTCTGAAAAAATTCATTTTTTTTCTATCTGATATAAAAAGAACCCACAAAAACGGAAGATTCCAATAAGAATTCGATTGAAAATTCGGATATCTTGGATTGTTTGTTCTCATCAAGATCGAGTTTTGACACATTTGTGGTGATTAAGACTCGATTTTTTGATCTGGTATTTGACTATTTCATTCAGAAGGCTTTTTAAATTGAATTGAATTTTAATTTTTTCCCCATGGGAAATAGTTCGAAAAGTCTTGATAAATGGAGGGAGTATTTCAGGAGTGCAAATTCAGATATATTTGATATAATTGAGCATTCAATCATGGTTGCAGCCTCTGATTGTCCCAATGACTTCAAATTGAAAAGGGATCGAATTGCAGAAATGCTTTTCACATGTAAAGTGACAAAGTGTTTTGGTTGTGACAAAATTGAATTATCAGTTCCAAATGATGACGATGTTGAGAAAATCGACGAAAAGTGCAAAAGTGGGATTGAGGCTGGAGGGAGTAAAGATACTAAAGAAAGCAAGGTGAATTGCAGTAGAAATGATGATAATAGGGAGATGACGGAGATGAATTTGAATCAGGTTAGCAATTACAGTTATGGAGAAGCTGAGGCATTGACAGATGAAATTGAGGAGGAGTCTCAATTGTTTGAAGAAGTCTTAAGGATCAAAGATATTCTTGACAATAGTGAGGACGAGGTTTGTTTCGATTCGATTTGATATATGAATTGAATTGAAGTTTTGTTTTTCATCACTTGCAGATGAAGATATGTAATTTGCTTTAATAATTCAGTTGATTTACATCTGCATTGAGCTTCCTAACTTGTTTTTTGATCGATCAAATAAGACAATTATCGGTGATGAAAAGTGGAATATAGTCCAAAGTTTTGCTTTTCGTTTGTGTTCATTTGTGAATGGACTTTCAGCTTAAGGCATTTAGTTAACATTCAGAAATGTTGCATCTATTTAGTTCATCTATGTATGTTTGTTGTACCATACTAGACACGGTGGAACATGAGAATTGACAAGATTTTAGCTTCGTTTTACTTAAGAAATGTCCCACTAATGACTAATTTCTGTTTTTGAATAGTTTTGATTATTTGAGAACGTTGTTGCTTCCTACCGATTGGTTGGATTATGATTATTCAGTTGTTTTTTTGTGGCTATATTAGTTTTCTTAAGAGTTATCTGATTTTGATCTTTGCCATTTTTACCTTACAGTCTGATTCATTATTATTTGACTCACTGAGGAAGCTTCAACTGATGCCTTTGTCTGTGGAGACTCTGAAGGTTCGAGTAGATTTTTTTTCTAGTTACGGGAATTTTTTTCTGAATATTTCCTGTTTCTCAATTCTCATCCTACTTAATTTACCGGTTCTTAACTTATTTGTTTCTATTTCAGGCTACAGAGATTGGAAAATCTGTCAATGCTTTGCGGAAGCATGGATCAAAGGAGATACGGAATCTTGTACGGATATTAATCGAGTACGGAAAGCTAACCTCTTGGCTTTGTATAATTACTATGTTTGACTCTGAAGCAAATGTGATTCTATTACCTGTTCTTGAATATTACAATTTTGTGTTCGTGTTCTTAACTTCTTATAGAGCGAATCATACCCCTCTCAGTATGTTAAGCTTGATTAAGTATCTTATTTTAGGCTTCAAGTCATCTTTTGAATAACGCTTAACTTGTTCATTTTAATTCTAGTGATAATAACGATTAAAGAAAAAAAGAAGGGCTCAATCATTGGAGTGTTTTGTTCCTTTTTTGATGTATTTTGCAAAATGACTGACGAAGAAATGACTATATAATTGGCTATCTTAAATGAGATAGTTCGTATTCTTACAGTCATACATATTGTCATTTTCTCGTGGCACAGAGATTGGAAGGTCATGGTTGATGAATTGGCTGCTGCTACGGCCGCTTTTGCAGGTACTTCGTCTGGAATAATTTTTTTGCAACAGTATCTCTAAATGCCAATTTTCGAGTGCCTATTGATTCAAACTGATTTTTGAGTTTCACTCTATCTAAGATTAATGTAGTACTTCATCTTAAAGCTGCAGAGGTTGCAACAGAATCTGTGAAAACTTCTGTTGTTGAAGAAGAGGAAGGGCTTCCTTCTCCACCAATGGATGAAGGAGCGTTCTTTGCTACTCCTACATCAATGGAGCTGTCACAGGTGTGGTTCCTCATCATCATTCTATATTTGGAAGTTGGTAATTTTGCGTTTTGTGTTTTGTGCTTATAAGCTGATTATGTTTTGCTTCTTGTCCCCTCGGTTGTGATGCGAAGTTCTTTGACGGCATGGATGATGATGGAAGTAAGTTCTTGTCCTTGTGTTCTTTTGTTTTGTTTGGTACGGTGGATTGTAGGGTTGAACACGATTAAAGCATAAATTTAAGCTAAAATCTCATCCAATAGATATTCTCTAATACTACTTACTAAACGTAACCTTATAGTGAAGCTTTTGCTGTTTGGTTCTTTACTCGAATTCCCCACTAATAACGTGCATGGTTTTGATCGGGTACGTTCCAGATCCTCGAAACAGTGGGGAATTCAACAAGAACCGTGAAAATGGCAGAAAGCCAAGAACGGAGAAACCAAATATCCCGAAAATGAAGCACCAGGTTACGTCTGATTCGAGCACTCCTTCCCAGGACAGGAAGGCTGAACAAAAGAAGAATCCAGAAGCTGTAATGAAGAAACAAGCATCTCTAATTAAACCAAATAAACCTCCAACTGGTGAATCGGGGCCAGGAAGACCAAAACCGACTGGGGAACGGAGGGTTAATAACGAGGTTAAGGTCCAACGGAAACCTGACAACAGCACGGTTCAGAGACGATCATTGGCTCCTCAACAAGATGTGAGTATAAGTACCTGATATATCCTTTCCTAAAGCCTAAAGGTTTTATTTTTATCTGACTGTTCTAAATTTTTGTTATACCAGAAACTAAGGTGTAGTAACGATGAGTCTTCAGTTCGAGCAAAATTAGAAGCGGCAAAGAGGAAACTCCAAGAACGATATCAAGAAGCAGAGAATGGTTTGTCTCATTTTGAACTCCACTCTTAACAAATCCAAATTTACAGTGACAATCAATTATTTATTTGCATTTTTTCCCCTTCATATAAAAATCATGATTTCGTTTCATGATCTTCTTTACAGCCAAGAAGCAGCGGACGGTACAGCTTGTGGGTTTGCAGGATCTCCCAAAGCAAGATCTTCCTCGGAAAAATCAGCAAACAAGGCCCGGCAACAACAACAACAATAATAGGCATTGGGCAAATGGACGTCGCTAGATACCTCTACTTACTTAATTAGTTATATTCATGCTTCGAGCTTTCACAAGTTGACCTAGAGGTGGAAAATGCTCGTGAATTCTCCATTTATTTTGTCCGAAGCTGCATTCTATTGATTTTCAAGAAAAGAAGCAGCCGTAAAATCGGGAGCGATGAGCTCGTTTAAACTACTACATCTAGCATAGGGGGTTTTAGTTACCTGTCCTGTGAATTTTATTATGTAGAGGAAGGTCTTGACAACATTCTTTTCCCTATTACTGTGACTATTGGGACACAATTTGCACACAAATAATTATGTGCATTTCTGTACAAACCAATCCAAATAAAGCAAAAGAAAAGTTTAGCATTTCAAATTTTCCAGCATACTACTAAACTAAAAGTTACTTTCCTCAAAGGTAAGTTGAGGCTTATTTGGTGAAGAAGTACATTTTGTTAATAAACAGTTACTTTTATGAGTATGTTTAGAATTTTTGAGTCAAATTTCCTGACCTATGCGATATTGAAAATTTGTAATTACTTGTATTACATTTCCTTTTGACACCTGAAGTGTAGAAAAAAATGAAGTTGACAATTGACCTTATCTAATAACATGAATTAAAAAAAAAAAAATGAAGAGAGAGAGAGAGAGAAGAAGAGAGAAAAACCTTGAACTTGGTCAATATTCATAATAACCCACTTGGCTTTATCTTAATCCTTTATTCAAAATAGAATATTGAATTCAAAAATAAACGTGTGTAAATGTCTCGTATGACTTTGGGTTTCAGCTTAAAAACTAATAGTTCTCTCTCTACAATTTCTTTATAATCGACTCTATCGGACATTTTTCGATATTCTTAAAATTATTTTATAGGTAAACGAGATCTTTACATAAACAATTGATCTACCAAAATTTTATTTTGACACGATCGAAGTACGAGTTCTCCCTATTATGAATATCTATTTGGATATGGGTTTGGCTACACTTAAAAAATTACTTATACATTAAAAAGTAAAGTTTTATATTGTCAAAATTGAAGATAATTAAGTTAAGTTACTATCAAAATAAATAGTTATTATAAAAAAATTATTTATTTTTAAGCTAACAAAGCAAGTACATACATTTGTTGAAGGGTGGTCCAAGTCCAATAAAGTGTACATGCATCATATTGACCATTCCTTCCAAAAGTAGGCACTAAAATTATCTTTTAACTCGTCCCTCTCTTCTTTAATGGCCTACCACTTTTGACTCTTCAATTTGCATTTATTTTTCAGCTTAGGGTCTCGTTGTCGGATATGACCAAATAATAAAAAATAATAATATGGAAATGATTTTTTTTTTTTTGGTCAAACACGAACAAATCTTAACTTTATATTAAAAAATAGTAAAAAAAAAAAAAAAGTTAAAAAAACCAATAAACTTCATCGATGATACTGACGATTTTTCCATCACCAATCAACATTGAAGTACTATCGATTATTGTTGACCATATCAGGTATTATTTTTAGCCCCTGACATTCCATTACATTTTATTTTTCTCTCTCCTATTTTCAATCATACGATCTTCCATAAAATAATATTACATGTAAATCGAAAATTTCTCTCTCTTTTTTAACCACCCATTTTTCAAAAAATACTATTCCACCCATTTTCATTACTAAGAAATTGGGGCCAAACAGGAGCTTAGTAAATTTGTTTCAATCACCAAATAATATTAATTTATATCAATATCACATGAGTCAATTAAATTATATATAACACAATCTTTTTGAAAATGCCCACTTTGATAGAATTCTAAGACTTTTAAGGCGGCACCTAGGTTGATGTAGCCTCAATTTATCAATGTCAACCAAATCGTGCTTTAATCGTCACGGCTTAATGTGCAACTTTCCAAACACGATATATCATAGCGAAGTTATGGTAGGTTGATTAAATGGAGTAATTAGTTATTAGCTTCCTTAATAGAAATTTTTTTTTGAATTTGCTTAATTAAAAGAATATAGTCCTAATTAACTTGTAGGCACATACTTATTTACATATCACAATAATTTTTTTATCCGATATTAGTTTACCAAGAATCAAAGAATTAAGAACCATGCTATACGTACATAATCATTTACCTAATCTTTTACCCACTACTCACATTATTTGGGTGGGATCTCAGTTCGGATTATTAAATTATACATGGGACCCGCATGTTAGTGAGGAGGGGGGACACGATTCGATACATCCCCCTTCGGTACAAATATCTTTATCCAAGAATTAATAGTTCTGTTACAACGTAGCCATCATTCATACCGTTCAATACTTTATTGGTTTCATTAGGGTAGTTGAACTAAAACTCACTTTAATCGAGTTGAGCCTACACCAGCTTAATCATTAGATTTATAGATTATCCCAATTAAAATAGACCACTGTTTTTCTGTCTCAATTTTTAAGCTGCAGCTCTTTGCCAAATAAATAAATAAACTATATGAAAATTGATTTTTTGGTAGAGATTTTTGAAAATAGATTTTGTGAAAAGTAATTTTTGGAAAAATGTATTGTTAAAAAGTAGAAAAAAATTATGGGTTCACATGCAAAATAACTTTATTAGAAGAACGTGTGATTAAAAGTGAATTTGGAAAAAGAAAAATGAATTTTAAAAAATGGAGATCAATCGTAGTAAAAACTAATACAAAATTTCTCCCCATTTTGTGTATTTGGTCTCATTTTTAACAAAGAAACTTTTTCTCTCCAAAGAACGACTTTTAACGACTTTTTAAGTAATTATAATTGATATTACAGAAAATAGGTCTAGTATCTTGATTTGATTCATTGATTGAGATCTTTATACTTTATTCAGGAGTTAATCATACACAATAGAACCATAAATCTATAATTTAGACATCACTTAAAATTGATGGGACGATGGCCTAAAGAATTTAGATATCAAGATCTTATTTTATTGACTTTTATTCACATATAAATTAATTAGGTGGACCATTGCCTTAATGTTTGATTTTTTCATTTATTTTTGTCTACTATTTGTGCAAGTGGCATGGCATTGGATTAGTTGATTCTCTTTTGTAGCATTTATAGTGTAGAGGATAAGGGATTCCCTATATTTTTATCCTCTCTCACTACTATTTTCGTCGGCTAAACAAAGAAAAGTATTTACTTAAAAAAAGACGGTATAATAAATAAGATTATGATTTCTTTTCTTTTTTTTTAAATTAATGTATGTGCTTGAATAATCTATCTTGCTGAGCGAGTTACAAGGATTAATTAACCATTTCTTTTTTTATAATGTAGGCATCCTAAATGTATTTTATGATATACTTAAGTTGTGGAATTTAATTATTGTCACTTCGCAGAGTTAGTTGTGGATCGATCTTCTTACTGAAATTGTCATGGGGCAGGAAGCCCCTTTTGGGGCCCGAACCAAAAATTCATTAAATGAAGTTAAGGAATTTGTGTTCATATAAAATTCATTTTAGGAATTTGAGTCCTTGTAAAATTCGATTTTCTCTTAATTTGTTTTGTAAATAGGGAGTTGTCATCATGCTTTTGAATAACCATTATAAAAGAGAGAGAAAGATGTTAGAGAAGATATGTATATGATTTTCCCTTGTAAACTTTTTTCATTATAATGAATTACTGCAGTGGTGGAAGATGACATAATTTCTCGTTAAGATGAATACCTATAAATTTTGCATGTTCTTTAGTGTTAATATTTCTTTATGTAAATTGATTGCTTTTGATATAATATAACTAGGCTTATATATATATATATATATATATGAAGTACAAATGAGGGGGGGGGGGGGGGAAGACCATGAATTCAAGTTTTTAACCTCTCGTTTTCCTTTCTATTTTAAATTGGTTTTGACTTTGCATCCTAATTTCAGTAATTTGTTTTGTGCAAAATAAATCCACTAGTTTTGTTTTTTCAAACTTCCCATCAATATGAGATCCAATATCATTAAAAACTGGGGTAATAGTTATGAACTTTAACCTTTTAAAATGACTTTTGGTTAAAATTTCATGAGAAAAGGTTTAAGAAATACAATATTAATTTATATTTTACAACTTATATGTTAATCATAAATAAGTTATATTTGTCAAATAACTATTATTTATCTACTATTTACTTTTGCATTGTTTGTGGGCCTAATTAACCATCTTTCTATTGGGTTTTGTGGACATAAAAAGCACACTGTGATTTTAATTTCTAAGCACAATATTTGTGGCGGATTATTGTTGACCTAAAAAATTCATAAAGTCTTGTTGTCAATAAGTCTCCTATTATAAATTTGTCGATCTGTACACTAAGAAAAATGCTACGTAACAAGATCACTTGATCAAAAAAATGGATTGACGATTGTTGGTACTTCGACGGTCAAATCAACTATCAATATAAGTTTACGGTAATTGGTAAGAGTACTTAACCACCTTTACCTGCGCATGGAATTCGTGTGAAACATTGCCTAGACGTGCAGCCCTAGTTCCACGGATCGTGTCCTTATTGGTTCGTGTGACACCACGTTGAGTTCCCTTGTGCATTTGGGTTTCCTTATAGAAATGGATTCCATAAGATTTTCCTCAATCCCCATGCATTTGCATCTGAATTTAGGGATTTACTTACCCAATACTTGCAGCCTAAAGCATGTCCAAGCCCAGATTTGAACATCATGGCCACCTTCTCCTGTGAACTACATTTATGTTTCACGCTTTTTCGGCGTTCAAGAGTCTGGTTGTTGGCAACGCTCTGACATGCGACGTTGTGCGAAGACTAGAAGGATGACAATATAATTGACGAGGGATGGTGGGTTATATTCTTGTGGTAAAGAACGCATTGGATCAAGAACGGAGTCACATGTTTGGTATTGTGGGGTCAAAAATTGAAATACATGTTTTTTAAACTACATATTATTAGTGAAGATAAGTCGGTACGTACACTATTACAATTGTATTATCCAACTAAATCATACACGTGGAGGTTAAAGCGCATTGTCCAATCTCATAAGTCCCCGTTTGTTTCTCATTTTGGTGAGAATGAGAATAAAAAATATAGTCATTATGGGCCTCACATAAGAGATAAAAATTCAAATTTGGTGGCTTGATGTGATGAATAATAATCATATTTTTCATTTTAATGAGGAAAGAATGGAAAACAAACAAGGGCTAAAATTTCATATCTTTGACTTCCAATTGACATTTATAAGCAATTATTGCTAACAAAATTGTTGTTTTTGACTTCTGTCATTTTCAAAATAAAAATATTTGAATATTTTAACCAATTTAATTTAAATATGAAAATAAAATGAGCTAAAAATTAAATTATGCAGTAGAGGAAAATAATAGAAAATCTAGACTGTTTGAGAACTTGGAGTC